TAAATACTTTAAGACTCTGTACACAATGTAATATGAATACTACCTAGATTAAAAAGCAATAGACAGAGAGGTCTACCCAGTTTCAAGTGTAATTATGAAATAAGATGGCAAATCACAACATTGTTTCACACAGAAAGGTATCGAAAAAATTTTTTTTGCGATATTTCATTTTCAATTAGTTAAAGTACACTTCAGAATCACTTTAAGTTCAAAACAAATCTAAAATTTCTAGTGCTATGAATTTCTGAACTACTGCAATGAATTTCTTGTTATAGTAAGATATTTTCTGCTGCATTATGTAGCAAGATGAAAGTACAAGTAGCATTATATATTTCACACAAATATAACAGCAAGTGAGAAAGGTGATTTATGTAACCAAAAGTTTGGTGCTCCTGTGTAGTCCATTTTTTCTATAACCTCATACAAATAATTAAGGTTCAAAATGTGACTTGCTGCACTGATAATATCATTCTTAAACTTCATGATATAATTTTTTTAATTTTTTTTTTTTTTTAATTTAAGAAGCAATGATCTGAGAGCAATTTTAAAAAATGTGACTTACACTCAATTTTAGTCATTTTTGTCCAGCATAATTTTTGGCCTAAATACAATGCAAACAATTTTGTTCTATATCACTGGTTGGCATTTGAGGTTATACAGAAAATTGACTTGGGTGAAAATTGCCTTTAATAATTAAAAACAAAGATGTAAATATATGTAACAGAATAATAAAGCCATCACTTGATAGGGGTCACTTTTTATAAACCCCTTTCAAAGTTGGCAGTTCATTATACTGTTTAAGCTACATCTGCTTTGTTGTTTTTATTTGAAAAGTGAATGAATCTTGATTCAAATGTAAGTTTTCATGAGAGAGAGAGAGAGAGAGAGAGAGAGAGACAGACAGACAGAGACAGTGTGTGTGTGTCCAAACATACAAACAACAACAGAACAGATGTTGGTACATGAATTATTCAAAAGAAAACAAAAAAGGTAAATCATATATCATCTTTGACTATCTCTCTAAACATGGAAACATACACACGAACAAACAAAACATTTTTTTCTCTATAGTAACATAAAACATACAAAACAAAAACAAATCACTATGGAAACAAAGACAGCAGGACCACTAAGAACTTTGCTACAAAGCGATGATCGACGTCACATAATACAAGGGCTTAAACAAAGTGCATAGGGCTCAAATGGTTTACAAATGGCGTAAATAGTAACCACTGGGCTTAAACAAAGACCACAGATGAGGGCTTAATAAATTATGCCCAAGTCACCAAATGAGCACTACTGTAAAACAATGCCAAGTTTTTTCAACTGGGTTATAAAAGAAATTGACAACCTACCCTGACAGCTTGCCGGACACTTGCAATATTCCCAAGCATCTGATTGGTTGATAAATTGACTCGCTAGTAATAGTGTGCTTTAATGAGATGACCTATAACAGGATTTTGGCATAAGGGAAGTGCTTTGAATCGGTTTCTTTGAAGGTGATTCGTGGCTTCAAGCTTAGAGGCTTTTAAGCTAGCTTGGCAACTGAATACAGAGAATATCCATAGTTTCACAAAACAGTGCATACTGAAAAGCTGTGTCTGAAATTATGGGATGGCGAGAGGAGAGTTTGTGAGATCTGGAATTTGAAGAAATACAGGGGGATACAAAGGGGTGAGGTAGCAGTTTGACCATGTAGCCTACAGGGTGACAGGAAAATCTGGAACAGGAATTAATCTAAGTGACATCCACAAAGCACAGTCCCCTAAAAGCCAATCCTCAGCAATAGTTCAGTTTTCCAGTCTCTTTTAAAATATATTTGTCCTTTCTGGCACCTTCATTAATTTTTCTTTTGTCAAAAGACTACTGGAAATTGAACAAGTGAAACATCTATGTTGGCAAAATGTTTGAAAATATAACAAAGAGTTTTAGACATACGACTCCAGTTTAAAAACAGTGGAAAAAATATTCTGGCTTTATCTTCTCAAATAAAATGCCCAAATCATTGAAAAATATGCTATGGAAAATTATGAAGACTTCATTTTATATGCAATTTCTTCTCATGCTAATTGTGAACAATGCGACTTTTTTTTTACAGTATGACCACATTGTCTCATGCCAAAAAAAAAAAAAAAAAAAAAAAAAAACCCTGATCGAATTTTTTTAAAAATCTTTTTTATTTGCAACATTTCGCCACACTGTATCTTTTCTGCAAGGGGGGAAAAAAGGCTGACAACACAAGCAAAGTTCTTAGCAGTACTAGGCACCACTATGCGTGACCCAAAACAACAGAAAAATAAAGAAGTAGAAAAAACAGACATACAAAAGAGAACAGGAAGAAAGTGAACACAGAGAACAGGATAAAGAAAAATTAACAAAGCTTCCCATCGCACTACGTATCCCTGCACTGGCCGTTAAGCCATTTTGAAATTCTCCTCCCTTTTGAAAGGAAAAAAAATTCCAACACGACTTTCTTCCCAAGTCCGCAGCCTTCAGTAAGTCAGGGGCCTCATTTACAATGGGGATTGTACATTTAATTCATATGCAGAAGAAAGTCTATCATTCTTTGCCAATCATCTTTAACCAATCTTATTAAAATTAGATCACATGAATAAGCAGAGAATGACAGGACGTAACTGTGTAAATGAGGGCGTGTTGGGGGGGGGGGGAGGGGGACAGGGGAGGTTGACCTCAAGTGACCTGGTGGTTAGTTACTTTGACCACATCACCAAAGTTGTCACCTGCTCTAGCATGGCACCCCTGTGCACTTAAAGCCAACCTTGGAAGTGGGCACCTTAGGGGGATTAGGAGGCCGGACATCTTTTGAAAAAAACTGTACTGGAATAAGAACTAGTAAATTAATCACACATGAAGCGCTGACAGACTGAATTCAACTGAAAAGATGAAAGCTGGGATCGAAAGACATCCGATTTGAATCCTGCTGCTTTTTCAATCTTTCTTTCTTTTCCGTGCTTCTCAGTTTCAGTTTTACTTACATTGCTCACAGATACAGGGACAGCCGCTCCAGGCGCTTCTTGGGCGTTTAGATCCACCCAGTATGTGCCGCTGGTCTGAATTGGTAGTGATAACATTTGAAACTGGCTCGTAGCAGGGCAAAGTACCACAACAATATCCTTATCAAGTTTTCTTAATTGCTTTTAAAAGTAACTCTTCGCCATCAAGCAACCAATTTTAATTCAAGTAATGATTGTTAATCCTTTTCTGTATCTTATGTTTTGTCATTTTTCAATTAGGTCATAGTTAAAGTACCAATTATGTTTAGACTTTTTGAGAATCATGCATGTTTAGCTTTAGCTTCTTTTAGGGATGATAAAAAATTGCGGTAAATATGCCCACCCATGAAAACCACACTGAAAACCAGGATTTGTATGAATAATCAGTAATACTGTTAGGTATTTATGTAAAAATTTTTTTTGTTTTCATTTGGACCTTTCTCCTCTCCTCCTTGTAAGCAAACACAGAAAGAGCAAATTTAACAATTATGGGCTAAAATCAGAGCAAAGGGAAATAGTGGTAAAATAATTCAATCGAAATAAAAGATTACAGAGCAGCAAAGGCAGGACTATTGATGGCAATCACTGAGGAAGCTGTTATAAATTTAATTGTTTCTGTTGGTCCTGTATAACCCAAGACCGGTTTTCTGGTAATAAAATTTGTTAATATAATTTTTGTATAGACAATTTAAAAAAAGATCATGTGACAGAAATTTGTGATATTTGATTTGAAGTATTTTATTTATAATGATTGATTTTTCAAAACATATATTATCATGTTATTTGTATAATGAATACAGAAAAAGCAAAAAAAAAAAAAAAAAAAAAAACTTCCAAAGCTTTTCTTCCAGTAAAAGAATGATGATTATCTTTTATCCTTTTTATCATTTGGCAGCACTTTGGAGAAAGAAAGATAAAGCAGCAGCAAGGCGTAATTTAAACTCAAATATAAATTATTTGCAGCATTATTTTCTGCTTTTTTGCAATCATTTTCAATTTAAGCTTCTTTCTTCTTTGATTTAATATTTTGAGAGATAGGTAGGAACAGAGAGGTACAAATAAGATGTAGCAAGCAGATTTTCTTCATTTCTGATATTTTTTTCTGTTTGTTGAGGAAGAAAATTGGGGAAAGGTTGTACAAAAGATGTAGCAAGCGGCGGACTGGATGGCTGCAGGGCAGGGATTTCCTGCCAATGAAGAGCACGCAGTGTCAGAGAAGCAGACCACAACCTCCACATAGTGGTTCTGACCTCATTTTCATATAGGACTGTTTTAATAATTTATTATTATTATCTTTTTTTTTTTTGTTCAAGAACTTCATTTTCAAATTTTGAATGAGGTCAAAAGTAATCATTTATGCCATCCTGTCAAATTACACATCATATCTCACAGCTTTAGTTCATCAGTTCATCCAAAATAACGAAATATGGATGGTTCCATGAATCAATGAGGCTATATGCCATGGTTTCAAATACTGAATATTTTATAATATTATAAAAACCATGAGCGATGATATTAAAGTTGACAGCAGTGCATTCTTTGATTATGCAAATGTCCAAAATGTTCCATTATTAAGTAATTAAACAGCTTATCTATATTTCATTGAAGGGGGAAGTGGTGTTCTCCACTGTCTTGTTGGCTCATATACTATATAAGTGTCAAAAAAAAATTAAAGTGTATAGGAGTCGCATCACACTTGATTTAGTAAAAAAAGAAATAGAAAAAAATTCTGCAATTCTGAGGTACCTTGACAATTTCCACAAAACAAAACAAAACAAACAAAAAAAAAAAAATACCTGGCTTCTTAGGCAAGACCACTTTAGACCGAAAGTTTTCCTAACTTGCTTCATGAGACAACAAGATTAGAGAGGAAAAAACCCACTGCTTCGGTTCAAACCAGTTTTGGCGCGAAGAGTCTAAAGACAGAGATAACTGTGTGGAGGTTGCGCGTGGCAAGAGAGAGACCAAGCGGGAGACAATCCCTACCATAGCTTGGGCTTGAGCAGTGGCAGCGGCAGCAGCAGCATTAGCTCTTTGTTGAATAGCCTTAATCTGGGCCTGAAGGTGAGGAGGAGGGTGGAAGTAACGACACGAGTCGCGCGAGCACTTCCCCTTAATGTAATCCATACAGACAGTTACATGGTTATCGTTTGGGTCAATGTGCACGCTGTCAGGGGGGTGGGCGTATCTACACTCATCGTGCTCACGACTGCACGCTCCGCGCTGAAACTCACGACATACCTGGAAGAGAAGAGAGAAAGAAAATTGCGTGTAATTATGAGTGCATGGCTGAAACAGACAAAATAAGATTTTACTGTCACAGATATCCGTTTTTGGATTTTGGCTGTGTTTAATTCTTTTGAATTTATTCTTAATTATATTAAGTCATGAAACAAAGAGAAAACATGTCACAGTCAGTAAAATATTTTTAACAATATAACTGCTTCATGAATATATTCATTTATAAACCATCGTCAATTCAATAACCAAAAATGCAGAATTAATGAAGTGTAATCCTGAAAAGAGAGGACTTGGTTAAACAAAGTTTCCAAATCACCAACAGGTCCCAACCAATACCTTTATAAATATATAACAGTCATGTCATGTGTCTCCAGCACTTTAAAGCACTTTATATTCTATTTATTTGTGAAAAACGTATGTGAAGGACCAACTTTTTCACAGCACCTTCTATAAAGATATATTAATTTTTTCTGAGTTCAAAAATTGGAAGTTTAGACCTGCTCAAATCTGTGTCCAACTGTGGACTTCAGAGCAAAGAAAACACCCATTGGAAAAAAAAAAAGGTGATGCACCTTGAATTTTTTTCACATTCAGGTTGCATATTATTGCAAATCACAGTAATTGAAGTAAAATAAAAAATAAAAAACACAGACAATCACATGAACTACAAAAGAACAAATCCCGATCATAAAAATAGATACAGAGTGATTAAGGAGAGCTGTCCCCCTCTCCATCATTTCCATTCCATAAAAAGATCTATAAAAGAGAGGAAACTGCACAGACAAAGGAAATAACAATCAAACTAAGTGCTCCATCACCAAGATGTTCCCCATCCATTTCCATTTATATTCATGCAATGGAGAACAGCAGGAGGAATGACAAATCACTGAGATTTGTTTACCCATAGAAAATATATTTCAAAAGAAAAAAGAAAAGCAATCTCTCCAAAGTTTGGGTCAAAATGAAATTATCCAAGGGATAAAGTGGAGGCACGAGGGGCTATAATATAATACTACTACATAATACGAGGCAATAATTTTAATGAACTAAAATGGTAACAGTGAACTGAACATTTCCTTCTACCTCATAAGTTGATTCAGATCCTCCTCTCTCCCCCCCCCCACCCTGCCCCCTGACTTAAGCCACACCCCACATACATACACTCCTTATGTTAAGCATCAGAATATGACATGGACTGACCCTCTAGTCTTCACGACTTCAGTAGTTTAAACCAAGTCGTAAGTGCAGTACATGTATGCAACCCTCCAGTGAAATGCTAAGCCAGCATCAATGTCTCTATTCCTCCCTCACCCTACCCTCTCCCTACACCCACCACATATGCCCAAACCCTCCCCACCCTAAGGCACTACCTCTAGTCTATCTGCCCGCTGCAGCTTGGACTGGGCGGCGACCGTGGTGGGGACCCCTCCGGGGAGCTGAGCCGTGGAAGCCAGCGCCATGGACTGCATCATTTGGTTCCCGTCGGTGCTGCTGATCAAGCCCGCCGCGGCTGGGATTCCTGGGAGGGACGTGGCGTACTGGAATGCAGGGGGGACACCGCCAATGTACTGGGGGGCCTGGAAGATTAATGGCAACAATGTATCTTAATGTAAATGTTTTTAATTATATTGTAATAAATTGAAGAGAATGAGGTCATCTTCTATGTGGTGTCTGGAATGAGAATGACAACTTTTCAATTTGTTTTGCATAAAATACATAAATGCATAAATAAATAAATAAATAAATAAATAAATGAGAAAAAGATAAATAAATACAAGCCATGTTAATAAATAAAACAAAAATCAAACAAACGCACATAAGTCAAAAGAAAATAAAAAAACGTTAATGTTGAAGGTACACTTGAAATTGTTACATGAAGTTTTTCAAAATATTTTCATTTTTTTCTGTTTCTTTTGTGAAATATTATACCTAGCTTTTTAATATCCCTCCATATTCCATATGACATGGCTTAAAACTGGCTAGCTTGAGAATTTTTCTTTAAATGAGTCTTGCTTTATTTTTTAAACCTAATCTAGTAATATATTTTGTGTTTAATATATATTATATAGTTTATACAATGGCTGTATAAACTTATCTGTTATTATGTTATAAGGGGAAAAATAATTAACAGTAGTTCAAAATGTTGCAAATTGTGTTATTTTTTTTTTTAATGAGGAAGGAGACTTCTCACCCCCTGACCTTCTAGCTAATCTGAATCCATCCATACTTAAAAACACCAAGCGTTAATGACTTTATTTCCTTATAAATTATGTTCATTCAATCATCAGTAGTGAGGCAGGGGGCTTTTTAAGTGTTAAAGAATTGAAGGCCTGATAGAATTCCTTCCATGATTCACCATGTTTCCTCTCCACCGCAGGTGCAATTGTGTTATCCCATTTTCTCTGGATGATATCATTCTCGGTATCTTAGCAACAAATTAAAACATTAGTCATGTGTGTCAAACAGCTCAATTGGATGAGGCAGAGATAATTGGATGATGGACCATTGTTGCTTTGCTTATTATTATCTGTGTAGGTTTTCAAAACATAATGCCCATTTAATTTTTGGAGTGTCAACCTAACATTATTTTTAATATTGGCATCACAGAGATAAACTACGTTCGATAAACCTCCCAAAAATTTGATAAATTTATCCTGATGCTGTTTTGCTCTCAGTTTTATTGCAATGTAACACCACTGCTCTTACTGCTATCTGATCCAAGTACTATCATAGCACATGAATTCTTCATCCACAAACCTACTTAAAAGTATTCTATCTGGAATTTTCGCGCCAAATCTAATTTTCCATGAGAGAAAAGCAATTTTCTTCTTTTAATGAATCATTGTCTGACCCATCCCTGCACCTAGACCCAATGTTTTAGACCACTTCTAATTACCTCCACCAAGGAGGTTATGTTTTCACCCCTGTTTGTTTGTTTGTTTGTCTGTCTGTCATCAACATAACTCAAAAAGTTATGGACCGATTTTGATGAAGTTTTCAGGAACTGTAAGAAGTGGGCCAAGGAACAGATGATTAGTTCTTGGTGGTGATCCGGATCAATAATCAATCAATAATCAATAATAATCAAAAATTGTCTGCACTCTCGGAGTGTTTTTCTAGTTATATAATTAAATCCTAAAGGACTGCCCAGTCACTTAGACTGCCATGTACACCTTTCAGAAGGAAATATCCTGATCAGGTACTTTTGTTTGAGGGGTTTTATCATTTATGAATTGTGGATTGGGAAACATAATCGGTATCTTTGCAGGATATCTAGTAATAAATATATGACTTTGTCACATTTTTCAGATTTTGATTATTAAGTCTTTATAAGAACAGGTTTAAAATCTTATAAATGGCTTGGTTGATTTTTTTTAAAGAGCAAGTTCATCTTGGTACAGCCACTGTATTTTCACAATGAATGGTTTTGTCCTGTGCAAGTAAAATACAACAAGACAACATGATGTTATAAAATTAATCACCCATAGCGCTCATTCATTCATATGAACCATATCCATTATAAAAAAAAAAACACTATAATGAGACCACATAATCCGTGCCGTACATAAATGGCAAACAAGTCACGTAATGTAAAATAATGAAGAAGTCCTTTGTGACAGACCCATGATGTTCCTTTGTCCCCAGTGAAACTGTAATGATGCCAAACATAATAACTTGACGTGTGTCACGCCTGACAGGTACTTCACAATTCATCTGCCAGCGCTGCAGACGGGAAAGGACTAAGGAGGGCATGCTTAATGGTTTGTGGAAAGTCACAGGCAATTTTTCACAATCCAGGTGACAAACAGTAGCTTCTTTTTCTTTCCTTCATTTTGTCTTTGTTTCGTTGTGTTTTTTTTTTTCTTTTGCTTAAGTGGTCCTCCACCGAGTCAACCAATGACACATTCAGGACAAAATAACGACATAATCCAAAACATTGTTTACTTGGAGATACCTGTAGAATATTGCTCTAAAAGTACTACCTGAAGAAGACTGCTTTAAAAACACCTGTCAAGCGAGATCAGGCTTCGTCTATTTTCCCCCCAAGTTCTTACATGGTTTTTAATCGGCCTGCACACAATAAATTTCTCGTCTTTTCAATTTTGGAATTTTACTCAAAACTTCAAGCAACAGACATAGTGTGCCAAAATTTAAGACTGAAAGATCCCAGTGATCCTCAATGCCATTTGCACTTTTACATTTCCAACAGTAAAATGTAGTCTTTTATCCTGTGTACAGTAATTTTAAAGTTCAAGCAGCAGTCTCATTAAAACAAATAGCATTTTATTATTGTTGCAATGTTCTTATCATTTAATGCACAAATTCAACCCAATGGGTTGTAATTTTAATAAATTATTATTATCAATATTATTATTAACTTGGAACATTGTGATGGTGACAGTGTGACTCAGCATTTGTGCAGGGCATGTCTTTGTCTACTTTCCATAATTCTAATTTCATTAATGGTTCTAGAACTTAAATGCCATTGAACAATTTATGTTAATTCAAAATGTGCATGTCTGGATCTGTATGTTGAAGTCTTGCCACAGCAATAAAACAGTAAATAAATAATACAAATAAATAAATAAATAAACAAATAAACACATAAATGAATAAATAAATAATGAAAACAAAATAAGATTTAAAAAATAATAAATAAATAAATAAAAGTGTGTATGTATAATAAATGCACTGCAGTTCAACACCTGAAAGGAAGAATACAAGATTAAACAAGATCATTTGAGAAATAATAAACAAAAATAATAAATAAATTTTAAAAAATGATACATTGAAATGACATGTAGTGTTAATTTATCTGTTCTTTATCTATAAAAGTTGAATGGTTTTTCTGTAAAAGTTAAATGTCAAAGTGATAGAGACAAGTTGAACATTTTATTTACTTGAAACAGAAAATGCTAATGTTTTAATCAAAGTATAACTAAAATTAAGCTAAAGTATAGATACAAAAGCGAGCAGAGATACAAGCTTAAGCCTTGTACACAGACTCACATGCATTTACAACATAATAGCTACAGTCACATAAGGTGTGTTCAGACTAGGTCAACATGTACACCAGTATCAGTCAGTGACGCAATCTTGACATAAACCAGTGCTACACTGACTCTGTCTAAGCACACCTTCAAAAATTCCCATTAGTGAAGATTTTGAAGAGATTCATTTTAAATGGAGATAATGAATTTTTGGAAAACTAGTAACTTTTTTTCTTTTTTAACCTGGTATACTGCACAGTTTGCCATGATCGGAGACAGACTGGACCCCAAATCAACTTTTTTCTGCATCTTTTTCAATTTTGACTTTTATAACTTTCAAATATTAATATATTCCATTCAATTATGACAAATTAAGAAAGTTCCAGGACTTGATGAGGGGCTATCACTAAAGATACTGCATCAGGGGTCCATTTTGAAATAAAAATCTTTTTACTGGTAATTTTCAAGGGTAATTTTGAAAAGGATCCATGATTTTTTTCTATGCAAAGCTGAAATATTTAGCAATCTTTTGAGAATCTTTTTTAAATACCCAATACACCACTCCTTACTAGGTCCATTTTAATTTTAATCATTTTGATTAAATAGTACTTCTTGATTTTGATTGTTGTATTTGAATGATCTAAACAAATTACTGGAAATTAAACTAAAAAATAAAAAACAAATAAATAAAAATCCACTAATGAATATCTTAGTGAGGTGTGTAGCGTGAGATGATATCCACAATTTCGAAAGTAGACAATCCACAAAAATCTAGATCTAGTCATGACTTCTACAGCTCTAAACTATGAGAATAAAATCACACATGCGGGCAAGCTGATATTACTACTGATACTGAATGGGAATCGCACAGCTCTGGTATTTTCAGCCGTGCTGTTATACCATGTCCAACCATGTGAGTCTGGTCTAGTATAGGGTTCTACACTAAAACCCTGTTCGATATGACCAACCAAATGCGCACGTACCGTATAAAAGTTGGAGGCCGGGTTTTTAGATCGTAGGTACGCCTCCTCTAGTGGGGAGGTGGACTCTATGTCGCAGTAACTTGTATAGGGCCACACCCCCTCTGCTTGCGTCCTGGCTGTCATGGGGTTAACCCGCGGTGCTTGCTACGAGAGGAATAAATAATTACTGGCCACTGATTGGTCAATTTATTAGAAAAATGAGGGGCAAAATTGACATGGGCTTAATATCTGTGATGTCATTGCTGGCCATTTTGGCTGTAACTGATGGGACCCAATATTCCTTGGTCTATAGATTTTGAATAAAGTGAGAATGAAAAATAAAAAGGTGGTCTCCTCTGGAATTTGTGAAGGATATCTTAGATGCAAATATAATAATTTCCCATTAATTGCTGGTTTGGTGACTGACTATTGTCAAAGGCCTTGTCTCCTCTCTTAAAAAGGGTTCTTCCAGTTTCAAGAAAATTATATATTTTCTGCAGTTGTTTGTTTTTGTTACAGGGTACCTTTGATATGCAACTTAAACGAAGGATTGAGCCATATATATTTCAACACTCTCTTCTTTTCCCCACTTACAGTAAACTTACAGTAACATGTTTCCCTTTAATAAATTTTGATCTTTTAAGAACTGAACAGGAGGCATTACAGTTAAGGTCAGGAAAGATCATGGGAAAATATAAACTTCAATGGACTCTAAATTTCGATTCACACAAGTAGCTATTAGTAATAGCCATCATTTATATGCTGGGGGCCAAGAAAAATTATTGCTCCTTTGCAAACTTGATTAAAAAACACTCAAAAACAAGCAAGTCTTTAAGGTTTTATATTTTTTCCTTTAATTGGGTATAATTGTCCATGCGATGACAAAGTGCTTGTTATGCACATGCCATATTATATCAATACTGGCTTCAGAAATCCATTACATAACTTTTATACAATTTAATGGATATCACAGACATGTTGATTCCCTTTAAACTTTTGATAAACGGCAGGTAGTTATCATCCTATCTTAACTGAACCTAAATTAACTTGGTGGATCTCTAGCTCCTTTGTTAACTTTCCTATAAAAATTAATTTCAAGAAGCAGTTCTGATCTAAGGACTCGGATTTGTGATATCTTGAGTTTAACTTAGTGACATGCTACCTCAGCAAATTATATGATTATGCTATGCAGGGAAAGAAATATTAATTTAAGATAATTATCTTATCAGGCAGGGGATGGAAATAAAGGGGATAAAAGTAACCACATGGTCTGATGACATAGCATGTTACGACATCAGAAATGGAATGGAAATTGACCTTAACACACGGCAGGTATTTTCTTCCAACTTATCATAAACTACTTCTCAGCTTCTTCTTCCCTCCCCCAACTCCCCACAATTTTTTTTACAAACACAGCATTAATATGAGTGCCTCTGTTTCACATGATTTAGATTTTTGTTTTACAGCATAACTTGCATGGCAGACATAAAGGACATAAAGGAAGCATATATAAATGTACATACAGTGTGCGTAAAAAGCACATACACAGGCCAGACAAAGCAGCATCTGCTCTAATAGCTAATAATCACATATGTTTTATGAGTAGGGATGTTTTTTAAGGTACCTCATTCATAGCTTTTTTTCTGTACACTTCATTTTTTGTTATAACTTTCACTCAGATTTATTTGAGATGGAATAAAAATGTTTGTTATAAGAAACATTATAATATGTCCAATTTAAATTTGTTTGATTTCTAAAAATGAAAATGGTCTAATTTGCTCAAAGATTTTAATTCACTTTATATGGCAGTTGAAACTAGATAAATTTTTCAAAATCCTAACAGCTGTTGTCTTCACTGCTTTTACCATAATTGGAAGATTGCTGTGAAAAAAAAAATTAATGGGCTTCACTTTTGGAAAACTGTTAACTGTTCAAAAGCAAATGTGTGAAGTTGACTGTCAGACAGAGGAAGCCTTTTTTAAAGGCATTATATTCTGATTGTCATGTATAGCAAGTGACATGAAGAGAATTTTGGGGATTACTGATAATCTAACAGTACCATAGGGGGCAGCACTTGTTAAGCTATCAACTTTTGGTCCAAAATTGACAACTTTCCAAATCCAAGAAACATATGGACCATTTAGTTAAAAAACTAACAAAACAATGTAAGGGTTTTTTCAGATAAGAACAGCCTTTTTTTCTGTAAGCAAATTTATTAAGTTTGGCAAGTGGAAAATTAATAAATAACATATGGCGATTCATCCGAGCTGCGACTGATGCTTAACAAGCAAAGAAGCAGAGGCAGCGTCAGCAAGAGTGGCATTGGCAATATGGAGGCAATCGACAGCGGTTACATGGACTAGACAACGAGCGGCATCAGCAGCGGCCAACGAGGAACGAGGCAATGATGTAAAAATGAGGTGAATTACCACTAACCACAATGCCTGTCACCGCTTGAGGCCATACGGGGGCACTTGAGTACGCAAATGTCTTGCCACTTGTGTCATATGTCAATAAGAGGGAGGAAAAAAAACAAAAGAACCAAATTAGTATGATACAGTGCTAGGACCAACTAACAACATACTAGGAACCATTTTCTCAAAAAAAAAAAAAAAA